CCCCCCCCACCATAGAGTCTCCCTCCTAGCGCAGCGTCGTTTTTCCTCTGCTGACTGGAAGTCCGGTCCCCCCACCATAGAGTCTCCTTCTAGTGCGGCGTCCTTTTACCGACCTGCGACAGGGATCCTCCGCAGAAAGAGCCACATGCGGCTCCAGAGCCTTGGGTTGCCGACCCCTGGGGTAGACCTGAAGTGTGGCTGTGGGTTGGCTCCTTGCATTTGCCACGACCAGAAGTTCAGATCCGTAGACTTCTGTGCTTTGTGCAAGAAGGCATCTTGGCATTCCAGTCTCATTCAGGTTTTCAGGGTCTTCTCTTCAAGAAGATCCCCAAGGATCTGGAGCGGGGGTGGGCCTCTGAGTGGAGGGATTTCATGAGAGAGATGGGACAGGCCCAAACTCCCATCTTCTCCTGGCTTCCTCTTGCTTGGGCGTTGCCTTCTTACTGAGAGAATCTCCTGGACTGACGTTTCTCAAACTTAAAACAGGTGGACTTCCATTCCCAGAATTCCCCAACCAGCAAAGCTTCCAGTCAGCAGAGGAAAAAGGAGGCTGCTCTAGGAGGAGACTCTGTGGTCCACACATCTTAAAGAGGCCAACTTAGTAGACCTTAACTGTGACTGGAGTTGCTCCGGAATATCTCCCCTAACCAGGTGTCCAGAGAGTTTGGTACTTTGCTTGTGTTAAATGAGGCATTAGCTAGAGCTGGAGTGGACTTCTGATTGACCCACGCTCCTGTCCTGTCCACGTGAAAGATTCCCACGCCTGGCTACCTACCTCTTCCTTGGGTGGTCTTCCTCTGACCAGTGGCATCCCTTGGACAAAAAGGAGACTTTGGGGGTGGCGGTGCTACTTTGCAATGCCTCCCACAAATCCGAGGAAGTTCTCCAGAAGTCTGCAGGCCCAAGAAACTCCTTGGCTTGGCTGTCCACGAGAAGCCACCCAGCCTCTCCCTGAAAGTAGCGGTGGTGTCAGCGACCACTCCAGGACCCAGAACACGTCCGAGTTGTTTGCCTCCTTTTGTCCCCAGCCCTATTCTTAGCACAGCCCAGGGTGGAGGAGGAAAAGGTTATCACAGCTTCCTTGCAGCTTCCTGTTGGACTGCTGTTTTAGTGAGAAACCCGTTTCTTGAACAACAAGAGAGAGCTGTGGCCTCCTCCACCCTCCGTGGCTTCATCCATCAAACTGGGGAGCTGCCATGGAAGTCAGAAGGTATCTTGGAGCCGTTCTGGGGGAGAGGGAAGATTGGGGGGGGGGAATCTCCTTTTGAGGCTGATATTTTTCAAATCCTGCCTGGACTGCA